TGTAAAAAAAACATATTTATAATCTCAAATTAAATTTTAAACTATCTGTATAACTCTGTTTAACGTAAAATAGTTACTTTTGCCAAGTGACTTCTCTGACAGATTTTATGATGAAAATAAAAAAGAAAAAAAAATGGAGGGAACATGAAACCGAGGAAAATGAAACAATTACATTCTTCAAGTTCCTCTTTGTCAACCGGAGATAAAGTAGTTAGAAAATCGTCGGAGTTTTGATTAAAGTAATTTGAGTATTCGAGAGAGCTTTGCCCGAGGGCTGCTTAAACAGGACTCAAACGACAAGCAACAAGTTAATAAACAGCTAATTGAAGGAAGCCGCGGAAAATCGCATTTTTTCTCCTTTAAATCATCTTTATTTTTCTTTCTTTTTTTTTTCAACATTTATCGTACATCGAATTATACTTTGACTACCCTGCGGGCCCATAGTCGCCGTGTTTTAACCAACTTGCCGATTATATCTACGTTGGAACTTCATTAATGTGAACCTGTTGGCGGACAAACATATAACTATAATGAAGTTCCTACGGTTCCTAGGAGTTTACATCGAGATAAGCGACTCCAATCATCACGATCCTCGTTCAAGATTGAATTTTGAATTTGCCTGGTATGTAAGAACGAAAATAATACTTATATAGTGTTTTCTCGAAATGATGGACTCTTGCAACATTGATTGGATGGAAACGAGTTAATGAAATCTCTCCTGTAATAAAGAATTAAATAATAAAATTACGATCAGCCATCTGTTTTAAAATGAACAAGTTTTTACTTAGAATTTTATGAATCGCAGGTTATTCGATTTCAATTCTATTTGACTTAAAATTTCGAACGAGAATATTCAGCACCGGTTGAAATTTCTTCCAAGCGAAGCTTCATTTGAATTTCTACCACGTTGATTACGAATGTAACAAGATGCGGAATAACTCGCAAAAAAAAATCATCGCGCGGACACAGAGGATTTTTGCGGCACGATTCGACGCGTTTCGATAAAAGAGCCTTGACGACGATCGCCGAGATAACGCAGCCTTTTTCCGCTCCGATAAATTACATTCGACGTTGCGGCAACGGCGACCGCGTCTCGCGAATCGGCGACAGGACAAAAGAGCCGCAACAATAACCCTTAAACAACACCTAACATCCCTTTCAGAGAGCGTCCTGACGACGCGAAAGCAGTCGCGCTTTCCATTCATTCGATTACCCTTCCATTCAACCGTCGCACCCTTCGCCCGTTCCACCCTTTCTCTGCCTCTAAGTTGCCTCTGCCTCTTCGCGATCGAGAACCACCAGCGCTGCTGTTCGAAAAAAAAAAAACACCCGTTGCAACTTTCAACGAGATGAAAACGATTCC